AGCTCTATGTGGAGTCTTTTGAGGAACCTCCATACTGCTTTCCAAAGTGGCTGAACAAGTTTACATTCCCACCAACAATGTAGTAGGGGTCCCTTCTGGCCACATCCCCTTCAGCATCTGTTGTTATTAGAGTTCTTGATTATAGCCATTCTAACTGGGGTGAGGTGGTATCTCAATGTTGTTTTGATTTGCATTTCTTTTATGGCAACAGAACTTGAGCATTTCTTCATGTGTCTATTGGTTATTCTTATTTCCTCTTCAGAGAAGTTTCTCTTTAAGTCTTTAGTCTACTTATTTATTGGGCAGTTGTTTCTTTGAGGATTTGTTGTTGGGAGATTTAATTTTTTGAGTTCCAGGTATATTTTAGATAAGAGACCCTTGTTTGTTGTATGGCTATTGAAGATCTTCTCCCAATCCATGGTCTTTCTGTTGATCTTGCTAGAAGTGTCCTTTGACATACAGAAGCTCTGCAACTTCATGCAATCCCATTTGTCCAACCTTTCTTTGATTTGTTGTGTTTCTGGGTCTCTATTAAGAAAATTTGGGCCTGTGCCAAGGAGACCTAGGGTTCCTCCTGTTGCATCCTGTAATGTTTTCAGAGTGTCTGCTTTGACTCCGAGGTCTTTGATCCATTTGGAGTTGATTCTGGTGCAGGGTGTTATATACGGATCTAGCTTTACTTTTCTACAAGAGATTAACCAATTTTGGCAGCACCATTAACTGAAGAGGCTGTCTTTCTTCCATTCTATTTTTTTAGCTCCCTTATTAAAGAGTAGGTGGCTATAGGTCTGTGGGTTCATTTCTGGGTTTTCAATTCTATTCCATTGGTCCTCAGGTCTCTTCTTGTGCCACTACCAAGCTGTTTTGATTACTATTGCTTTGTAGTAGAGTTTGAAATTTGGTATTAATATTCCTCCAGCACTGTTCTTTCTGCTAAGATCATTTTTTCTATTCGGGGTCTTTTATTGTTCCATATGAAGTTTTGGGTTGCTTTTTCTATTTCATCGAAGAATGAGGCTGGAATATTGATAGGTATAGCATTGAATATGTAGATAGCCTTTGGAAATATTGCCATTTTAATGATGTTAATCCTCCCAATCCAGGAGCATGGGAGGTTTTTCCACTTCCTAAGTTCTGCTTTGATTTCCTTTTTCAGGTGTTTAAAGTTTTCATCGTAGAGATCCTTCACTTCTTTCATTATCTCCTGGGTATTTTATTTTTTGTGGGGCTATTACAAAAGGAGTTGATTTCCTGATTTCAGCCGTGCTCTTCTCATTGTTGGTATACAGAAAAACCATTGTTTTTGAGGGTTAATTTTATACCCTGCTACTTTGCCAAAGTTTTGAATCAGCTTGAGTAATTTGAGAATGGAGTCCATAGGATTCTTTAAATACAAAATCATGTCATCTGCAAAGAGGGAGAGTTTTATTTCA